TTTATTTTAGACCTAATCTCGTCAATTGGGTCGATTCTATAATTCGAAAAGAAATATACGTTAAACTAAGCTTGTTTTTTTCTATGATCGCGAGGAAATTAAAAACTGTAGGAAAATGAGTTGCTTTTACTGCTTTAAGCGATATCGGACACGATTATACCTGAAATGGTTTTTATTATTATGGATAGAGGTATGGAGGAGTAGGGGCTTAAAATATCATGTAGCATTGATATATATCTTAAATCAGAATTTAAAAACAGCATAGTCACCTCCTTCTGATCAGAATCGCGGTTAAGGACCCCGGCTAGCTGCATCGTCGCGCGCGACACCTTACGGTACCGCTACCTAATCGAGAGAGAGCGCTTTCAGTCACGTCCATAGGAACAGCATTCAACTTTCGAATTCCTTGGTGAGTCTCTTCGAAAGCTGTGCGAATGTAAGTACATGCGAGCAAATCGACGACCGCGGCGGTGACGAGGTTAAATCGGACGAAATTCATCGTACAGGAAATGCGTTACAGACGAAATTAAAGAACAAGGATGTTATGGAGTTGGCATTCCGGATGCACGGCATAATCTACTGCACTTGTACGATCAAACTGAACGTACACAGTTAGAAATTGGAACCGAAAGTACAATATACAGCGTTATCGAGAGAAGTAATGTTTAGCATTGTAAATCGTTGAGAAATCATCTCTGCATATCATAATGTATAATCGACAAAAATTTGATTGTCTTTGGCAAATCTTCTAGCTATTGGTTTCGAATCTGGCTTGACATTCTTATAGAATTACAACTGTGCTCTCATCGCCTCTTTAATACTACGTCTTCCTACATAACTACAACACTTGTCGGGTTTCGGACAATCGGGCGAGAAATCAGCATAAAGATTTTACTTCGCAGCTAGCCAAAATCAGGATGGTATAAAAATTAACGACTGGATGTCAGTCTACTCTATCTGCATATCTTTGTTCTGCTTCGTAAAGCTCAACAGTTGCTTTCCGATTCATACTTTAAATGATGCCTTGTCATCCTTGTCCTCAATCTGAAGCGCGCTAAAAATGGGTTGTGACATTTTTTGCACAGGTAGCCAGCTTCTGGCTGAAGCATATAAATATCTGTAAAGACTGTCCGAGGCCAATCTATTTGACTGATCATTATATTTTATGAGAGTAGATGTACGCAGCCTGGATGATCCACAAGGATTCTCACAGCACAAAGATGCTCGTCTAAAATTTGGTGAAAGGTACGTGCTACAGGAAAAAAGAATAAAAATGAAAACGGCTATCATCCTTTTTTCTATTAGATCATCCTCGTGCAAGAAGATATAATTTCGTAATGAGATTGAGAGGCTAAGCTGCGCGCTTTTGAAATTGAGTGACCTATCGTTTAGAACGAGGCTTTACATGAAAGGCTTGCGCGAGCACCTTTATAATAAGGTATACATCACAACATTTTCGCTCCACTCACTCCGAGTCAATAGATTTGTGTCCATAGCCCAGCTGTAAAATATGAGATAGGAGAGACTAATTGGTCATGCAAGTAATATGCATGTAACATGCATGGTAATATACATATTTCTTAGATATTCGCAGGTCCTATCTTTTCACAAATGCATAATGTAGTGATTGCGGGAGTCGGATTTCTGACGTAGCAACTACTTATTTTGAATTTTTGTTTCTAGTCCGTACTCCTTATCTATGTCCCGGATGTTCGCTAGTGAAGACAAGGAAAGCGCTCGTGTTGGTTACAAGTTTCCTAGCAATTCCTGTGTAGAACTCATTAAGAAGCATATTCATATCGTAAATCAAAAATATCTACCATTGGTGTTGGAAGGTTGGTTGCCTTTATTAATCCGACCTGTTTATGAGGCTGACAGCGTTAACGAAAAAAATATTCAATCAATCCGTCTGTCCATCAATTAGCCGTAGTCGTCATTGTGACTGTTTTAAGATCTGATCTTACCCTTAAGTTGATAACCCGTGTCGACAGAGAGAAGGATATCGAAACGAATTTCAAGTACGAATGCCGGTAAAGTTACTCCTGCTATTTCGATCGTGACCCCATACGAGAAGACAAACCATGTCAAGACCTGATCGAAACGTTGTCGAGGCTCGTCAAATCTGTCAAATATGACAACAACACAGCAAGAGTCCAGTAACTCAAGACGAAACCGCCAGAGAAGTCCACAAGATATTGACACTATCGTTGAACAAACACCCAAAATCCGAATTTTAGGTGAGCGATCAGATCGACCTTTTGTCATACCCTAAAGTTCGAGAAGACAAAAGACGTCCCGAGAAGGATGAGGGAAACTATTTTCTTCAAGTTCTGAACGAACTTTGAAAAAACTCCAAGTAACTTACTC